AAATAGCCCAATCAATAAATGGGCCAAGGAACTGAACAGACACATCTCAGAAGATGATATACAATCAATCAACAAATATATGAAAATATGTTCAACATCTCTAGCAATTAGAGAAATGTAAATAAAAACTACTCTAAGATTTCATCTCATTCCAGTCAGAATGGCAGCTATTAAGAATATAAACAACAATAAGTGTTGGCAAGGATGTGGGGGAAAAGGCATACTCATATATTGCTGGTGGGACTACAAATTGGTACAGCCAACATGGAAAGCAGTATGGAGATTCTTTGGAAAGCTGGGAATGGAACCACCATTTGACCCAACTATTCCACTCCTTGGTCTATACCCAAAGAACTCAAAAACAGAATATTACAGGGACACAGCCACATTACTGTCATTAATGTTTATAGCAGCACAATTCACAATAGTTAAACTGTGGAACAAACCTAGATGCCACTCAGTAGATGAATGGATAAAGAAAATGTGATATATATACACAATGTAATATAACTCAGCAATAAAAGAGAACAAAGTCATGGCATTTGCAGGTTAATAATGGAATTGGAGAATATAATTCTAAGTGGAGTTAGCCAATCCCCAAAAACCAAATGCTGAATGTTTTCTCTGATTTAAGGAGGCTCATTCATAGTGGGGTTGGGAGGGGGAGCATGGGAAGATTAGACAAACTTTAGATAGGTAAAGGATTGGAAGGAAAAGGGAGGGGGTGGTAAAAAAGATGGTGGAATGAGATGGATATTATTATCCTAAGTACATGTATGAAGACACGAATGGTGTGAATATACTTTATATATAACCAGAGGTATGAAAAATTGTGCTCCATATATGTAATATGAACTGTAATACATTCTGCTGCCATATGTAACAAATTAGAATTAAATAAATAAATAAGGATGTTTATAAGCTACTCAGCAGGCTGAGAGACAGGAGGATCACAAGTTTGAGGCCAGGCTGGTCTATTTAACAAGATTCTATCTCAAAATAAAATTTTTTAAAATATTGAAGTTGTAGCTCAGTGGTAGAGTGTTTGCTTAACATGTACAAAGCCCTGGTTCAAACCCAATACCTCAATCAATAAAATAGTATTTATTCTTTTAAATACTTATATTAGAAATAAAACTTAAAATTAATTGCCTAAAACTTTCACTTTAAAAAACTAGAATTTTTTTTTAAAGTAGAAAAAAGAAATCTTAAAGACAAAAATGGAAACCAGTGAAATAGAAAACAAAACAACACAGAAAATTGAAACCTCAAAAGCTAGTCAGTTGAAACGAGTATTAAAACTTGGTATGCCCATACGTTGGTCAAGATAAGGAAGAAAAAAATATGAATTTCCAGTATCAAAAATGAAAGAGGGACATCACTACAGATTTCATTTACATCAAAATGTAATGAGAGCCAAGCATGGTGGCCCATTCCTGTAATCCCAGTGGCTCAGGAGGCTGAGGCAGGAGAATTGCAAGTTCAAAGCCAGCCTCAGCAACAGAAAGGCACTAAGCAGCTCAGTGAGACCCTGTCTCTAAATAAAATACAAAATAGAGCTGGGGATGTGGCTCAGTGGTCGAGTGCCCCTAAGTTCAATCCCCCATACCCTCCCCTCAAAAAGATAATAAGATAATATTAGAACAAATTTACACAAATAAATATGATAACTTAAACTAAAGGGACAAA